GGCCGCCTTTGAAGAAAGCGGCAAAATGTTTTTAATAGGGATGTGTGAAAAAGTTTTACTGTAAATTCTACAGCTGTTAGGAAAAAAAATATTTAATAAGCACTACGACCTCCGTGGCCGAGTGGTTTGTACGCCCGGGTTTCATGGTGTCGCCGACTCAAGAGGTCCCGGGTTCAAATCCCGATGGGGGCAGATGTTTGTGTGATGAATACGAGCATTTGTACTCCAGTCATGTTTATTATGTATTTCAATAAAAATATACTTATATATGTATTCTATCCGTTCCCCTAGTATCCCATAACACAAGCCTTATAGTGCTTACTTTGGGGCTAGGCTGATTGGTGTGAGTGTTGGATATACTTTTTATTTATTATTATTTACTAGTTATTTCCTAAAAATGAAATTGTGGAAGTAGATATATTTTTTTATATGAAAAACGATTTACAATAAGTTGGGTTATTGAAGGTATTAATTTTTAAATCATGGTACAAATATTGACAAAAAACATGCATAAAAAAAGAACCGTTCAATGAATTTAAAAGATAACTAATCAAATGTCCACGTTTCCAATAAACATTGGAATTTTATTATGAACGTTTTTAAAGTGACAAAAATTACTTAACTTACACTAATGTGACTTTAATGTCACCTCACACCTGTTTACTTTCATGTAATCACATTTTTCCATATCAAGTGTTTCGTGTAAATACAGGCAAGTTTCAATGTTGATTTTTTCAAGATTATGTAGAGATATTGCTCGTAATGTCAATACAATATCGCCGGCATGCGTATCGCAGTTCAATACTCCTTGAACTGTGTCAATATTTGACGTAAGTTACTGGCAAAATAATATTTTTATGAATTAAATTTAATACTGAGGCGCCTTTCTACCGGATCATTTTCTTTTCATTTCTGTACCGAATCTTTAGAGATTCCTTACCGGGACTAATCTTGACCGGTTCGGTTCTGTGCGGTATCGTTTCATTTTGTATGTTTACATGCACTCGGTAAAGAATCTGTACAGATTTGGTACAGTAACGATATAAAACAATCAAATTAAAATGCCAATCGTAATGAACTTTCGGAAACCGGAATATTGTTTTAAAAAATCACTGCCCAGCATAGCTCTGATTATGATGGCCAGCGAGCCCCGAGCATTTTAATCCCCAGGGACTAAAAGTGATTGGAATTATGAATGTGGATATTGCTAGTTAAAGTTCCAATCACCAAGGAGATTGATCTCAACATTTTATGAACAAGTAACATAGCAAATCACGCGCTCACCAAATTAAAAAAAAGTCCGTGAAGAAAAATAAACGCGCGAAATGCATTTCGCCTTCGTTCATAATTGTTCTAAAGTTTTTTAAAAAAATTGTATCTTCTTCGCGTAGTACTAAAAATGTAATACAAAGTCTTTCACCTACAAAATCTCGGGATCAATATACATATAAAGCATACCATATGAAAATTTCATCCTTTGGAAAAATGCAAGAAATGTGAAATCTCTTTACGAATATGTTTTTTTTGGCATTTTCCAAGATTTTCTTGTTGTTCCTGTATGTATATAAATATACGTACTTTTATTATATATTCGTTTCCATTGCCTTTACTTATTTTATCATTAAAAGTAGAGTGGAGCCTGGGAGCAACATTATTTTAAAGCTCGAGCGACGTACTTTGCATCCTTCACTATAAACTATGAATTCTTCTATAGAATCCTGCGCTATGCTCTGAATTAAAAAAAACACTCTCACCTTTAAAATAGTTTTTTGCTCGCTAAATAAACAATCTACTATTGTATCATTATGATATTTGCTTTCTGAACATTAATTAAATATAAAATTAAATAAATAAAAGTAAAAAGCTCTCGAATTGCTTTATTTTATCTGATTTTTCAATTTGTTTTTCTATCTGCTCGAGATGACGTCTAGTATTGATAATGAAAAATTTATTGACACCGCCAGAATTAGAAGTAACTGAAGTAACTACCTAAACGTAACTAGTAATTGAGAACCTATTACCCGTGAAATGCTGAAAATAATATAAAGTTCCCAAGCAAAAGTGTTACATTAAGTATTTAATAACTTTAAAAACTTGAATATAAATTGTAATTAAATAATTTTTCTTTTATTTCCTCGTAGGTATAGTATTGTTGCTAGGTATAGGTTCACAGTGGGCAATGGCGTGAATGAGACTCAGCCGGCGTATTCGCTAACTTTTTGACATTTACAGTGAGGAACTAATGAGAAAATTGCATATCCGTCGATGGTTTTCAGAACCAGTATCTAAATGGCGTTATAATAAAGCAGTAGTGGAACACTAAATAGCTCGGTGATTATCATTTCCATTTCCTACTGGTATTGTATCATAAAGACTCATAAGCTATGGCGGTCACTTACTGCTTGCACCCTTTATACACAAAAATATCTATTTATTAACTGAGCATCATAATAAGGCTTATATTAATTATATTGCTAATGACCCATGAATGAAAATATTATTAAATTTCAACGTAAGTTAGTTAGTTACTCTGCAAGAATTTCTTATGGCTACTACTGTACCAATAATCAAACAACATTAGAATAAGCATAATTCGCTTCAGTATTTTTTATACACGAACTAAACATGAAATATGGCATCATCAGCGTTACATTGACCTCGTATGGAATTTACAGACGCAATAAAATAGATACGTGATAGAAAAAATAAGGAGCCGACCCGGGTGGGTCGAGATATCCTGGCTCCCGTCAACAAAGCGAGCCCACGCGCTAATGTATTCAACTCGGCGATTGATGAAGTATAAAATTTCTTAGTACCGTCTCACTCACAATGGAATTATGATAATTTATCGGTTGGCTTGTGCCGGCGAGTGTGTGGGAACGCGCGCGGCACGGGCTTTCCCACGACAACGAACCGCGCGCCGAAACGTCGTAACAGAAACGAGTTGAAATGTCACTTAGGATATTATTCCGCCGCGCGGGAAACTGAAGTCGCGCGTAGAACGTCTTAAGTGGCGACCGGTGGAGGCGAGAGATCTTCTCGCGTTCTCCAAAGAGTCGTAACTATACTTAGGTCGTTTCAGCGTCTGTGCATGCGAGACAGAATTGGAGTAAGTAGCGTCACGGCGGTTTCGACCGCACAATAGGTCGGTGTCGGCTCGGCTAGCGGTGCTGGGAAACACGCACACCGTCGCAAGGTGATAGTCATGTTATTGTTTTGACTGACTAATTAGGATGGATGTTTTTATTCCGAGACGGATAATGTTATGAGAGTCGCTCATGGCGTCTGATAATGTCCGATGCAGATAAGCAATTTGCTATCGCGACTGGTGTACGCTTCAAACGTAATCAGATTGAGATTTTCATTTTTACCGAGATAACTATGAAACAAAAATATACGTGACAATAAAAAATATTCTATTAATAAATTTAATTGCTATTAAAAATCTGATAAAAGAAAATTATAAGTTATCTTTGGAATTCGTATTGAAGAATAGCAATTAATTATTTTTAAATAGTTCTAGTATATTTTGCTAGATCACAGTGCATTTGTACTCAGATTCACTAAAATTGCATTTTTTCATTTAGGGCATTTGTATGCACGTAAAAAAATTACAGTCACAGCGATTTCTGTTCAGCACCTCCGCTGGTATAACCAATCGCGACAGTGCCTCGTGTCGCGAGAATAGCATAGGGCTGCCTCTTAGCATTTAAAATTATGTACATTATCAAATTGTGAGATAAACGATAACTATTCAATTGTTTATTATAATTTAGCATTTCTCATCCATAACAAACATTTTTTGTGCCCGAAATTTTTATATTTTCGAATTTGAATATTTTTAACGTTATTTCACTTATCGATTGAAATAAAAACCCGTCTTAGGTACTATCTATCACAATACGCTTTTCATACGGCGAAGAAGACAATAACTATTGAACAGTGTCGTTGCCGCCACGAGTCGACTCGTTATACTACGGGGTGACTTCTAAAGGGGATCTTGGAGGCCACCTTAGGAGGGAGCGCGTGGGAACGCGTGCCAACCAGGTGCCATCAGCTGGGCCCCTCGACGCAGACAGCTGTACTGCAACACGTTGTGCAATATCGAACATTATGAGATTTCACAATGGTAATAGATTAACGGCAGCTGTTGAAAAAAATTGGCGAATAATAAAAAAAATATTAAATTTTAATATCTGCCGTAAAAATAACAGAACTTTATTCTTGCGTTGTTTTATTCCTTTGGAAAAAATGGTCATAACGTTTTTTTGTAAATATTGAATAATTTAATGTTCTAATGACGTGTATGATTTTCAAGAAATAATAATAACCCAGCTGTGGGGACATTAATAGGCTGATGATTATGATGATGAATAATTACCAATCTCGTATCAACATTATAAATACTTCCATCATATTATGAGATATAAGTTAACGAAACGATATACTTAAATATCAATACAATAAAAATCTCGGCAATATTTAACCGATATTTCTCGCTAATTTTATTTTAATAATGAAATTAAGCAGACAATTTGTGAAGCGAGCTATGTATAAGATTTTTAACATATTTGAATTCAAAATAACCTAATAAAAACCTCGCATGTCATAATTAAAAGTAAGTAGTAATAGTAATGCCCATTAAATTAACAGCATTATTGCCTATTTATATAAAAGTTACAAAAAATGTCGCTAAAATCAAACTTTACGCCCTAATTATTTTTAATTTGGAGAAATTACAGAAAACAGACTTACAGTGTGGGTATTAGAAAACGAGTAATTTTTATTCTAAAGACAAATTAAAATTAGGTTGTTATTGAGGTTTTTACTCTTTTAAAAATACAAGCCATGGTATTCTATTTGGATTAGACAACTAGATGATAAATCAAAAATAATAACTTAACGTAAGAGCGGCAACCCTGCGTTTATCACGGGCGTTTTGTCACAATCGGTATAGGCGCATAAAAAGCGCGCGGTTGGCGGCGCGCGCCCCATTCGCTCACAGACCGCCGCGCGCGCAGCACCAATGATCCTGCCCGCTCGCGCCATGTCGCCGCACGGCGTCTACCACCCTCCTGCGCATCCCCACGAAGAAGAACCCGTCTCCAGGACATACCAATACAGAAAAGTGATGAAACCAATGCTTGAGAGGAAAAGGCGAGCCCGCATCAACCGATGCCTCGACGAACTCAAAGATCTTATGGTCACCGCGCTGCAAGCGGAAGGAGAAAACGTCTCAAAGTTGGAAAAAGCTGACATCCTAGAACTAACAGTCCGCCATCTTCACAGCCTGAAACGGCGAGGACAGTTAGTGTTGAAACCCGAAATGTCATACGCGGAGCGATTCCGGGCCGGATTTACGCAGTGCGCTACTGAAGTGTCACAGTTTATTGCGAACGCCACTTTGGCGGCGAACGCGATGCAACGCCAAGGACCGGTGGATCCTCAAGCTGGTGCGAGATTGCTACAGCATTTGAGTAACTGCATAAGGAGATTGGAGAGTACACAGGCGCAGCAGCCGGTTCCCAATGGCGTGGCAAGGCCGACGCCGTTGCAACCGATTGCGCCTGCGCCTCCTCCACAGCCGATTCCTCAAGTTATACCCCAACAGCCAGTCCAGAGGACTTCGTTGCCAGAAAGAGGTGCGAAGCGGTCAGCAGAGCCTATAGACGCGGAAGCGACGCTCGCTAAGCGTGCGTACGCGCCGCCTTCGCCGCCACACAGCCCCGCCTCCGAAACAACCGACTCCGCCCAGTCGATGTGGAGGCCCTGGTGACCGCTTCAGCCTTCGCGATCTCACCCTCATACGGAACATTCCAATATCATTCCCTTTACCGCAGTGTGTGAAAGTGATAAACAAAACTTTTTCGATCGGAATAATTGTGATTTCGGGGGTAAGACTATTAATTATGTGTTGTGCGAAAATGAAAGACATTGTTTTTGTTTCATTCGTTCCTAGAACCGATGTGTATTTTAATTAATCGTTGCATGAGTTTTACTCGCTTTGCTTGTTGAAGTTTGTTTTAACGTTTTTTTTTTCTAATTTAAAAAAATAAAATAATCTTTTTTTGTTTTTACTTAATCTGTTATTTGATATTCCTAACTTCAACGTCTTCCGCGTCGGTTATTTGAAGCATTTACTTATTTTTAAAAGTTAAGAAGTACCATAAAGTAATTAGTTAGTACCTAAGTTAACACTGTGATATACGTTTTAGTTGTCTTCAATGTTATAGGATTGTTACATTGCTATCATAGATGTTAAGATGAGACAGACACCCGAGCATTTCAGAGAAGCGAACAAAAAATATTATTATAATTAATAAAAAAGATATTTGTACTGAAAATTTGTTTTACATTTAAATACATCCTCAAATAGACACCTCGCTATGTATTTTCTCATATTTTTTTATATAAAAAACTGCTAAGAGCATACGCTGCCATTAACTTGATAACCTTGTCTAAGATCACATTTCCTTACAATCGAGTTTCATGGGAAGATGGTCAGTGTAAAACACGCCGTGAAACCTATTTTATAACGAGTGTAGAGTCTGTGTCACTGACCTTACAATAGACGATAATTAGAGTGGTGCTTAATGAAATATTCAAGAGAACTTACATCTCAGTAGCTTAATATTGTTGACAGTTCTCACGTTGACTACTGGCCGTGGCGTGGCAAAAGTCTACTAGAATTAGAATAATAAAAATTAAATGAAATTCTCTATTCCATTACGTTCATACCAATTATACAAGGAGATAGATAAAGTATATTAGTATAGGTAAATATAAAAGCGAAACAACACTCATATCAGTACTTACTGACTAATCACGAAGACTCGAAAACTTTTTAATCTATTTAAATGAAATTTAATATAAAGAATGATTAATGACTAGGAGACATCGGCTAAGAGGGAGTTTTAGAAAAATCTTCTCCCCTTAAAGGGGAAGTCCCCTAGAAAGGGGATGACAGATTATATTGATTTGAAGGCCCCCACAGCATGAACATGATATATAATAACTCGTTTCTATCATGCCTAACTGTCACAATCTGAAGTATTTTGAAAATTGAGCGTGATAAAAACGTGATATAATACCATATCGCCGGATTTAAAAGATATTAAATTTGATATATGGGTCAATACCTAATTGATTACAAGTTCAATAATTTTGGATATCCTATGGAAGATAAAAAATGAGGATGAAAGTTTGTGTAGGAAAAATAATTTTTTGGAGTCCCGTACTCAATTGCAGCCATTGCTGTCACTCGCGTGTTCGTCATGATGTCGTCTGTCATTCAGATTATACAGGCAAACGGTTGAAACTAGTCTCCAAATATTTATAGTTTAAGCATCTTGTTGACCCAAGGCCATACAAATTGTCACAAATATATTTTTAAATGTTTATAAGGAGGCTCTCATAAAGCTTAAGAGCAGACGCGAGCTAAGAGACATTTGAGAAAAAGGTATTTGAAAAAACTTTTGCAGTCACGTATTTGAAAATACTGTGCTATACGGAATGCTACAGTAGCCAATGCTGAAAATTGCAAGATTCGGGGTTTGACTCTCGACAATTTCCTCCTCGAAAATTAGATATTTATGTAAAAGAAATTTCACCCATAGTACAATAAGTAGTTATACTAGACCACTATGTTTTGCTTTTTTTGTAAATGCTTATTGAATCTGCACACTAGACGTCTTAAGTGGTGATAAAAATTTGTTTATTTTTTTTGGCATTTTTGAGGGCTTCTAGTTTCTTTGAAACACAAGTTTTCGAGAAAAAGATGACATAGAATATATTTTATTTATGAAAATCAGTTCTTTAGTGATAAAAATCAAGGAGGAATCAGTCGAGAACGTTTGTATGAAAAAAAAAAAATTGCCCGCCTCGCCTTTTAAAGGGGGCGCTGAAAAAGCGCAAAAGCTCGTTGACTATACCTAGAGAATTCAAATATTAGCAAACAAATGATTGGGAAGCCACAAAAGTCAGCTTTTTTACAAAATATTGTTCAGAAAAAATTTCTTACTTCGCAATTATTACTGATATTGTTCGAATAAATAACAAATCATTGTCATTATCAGCCTATTAATTCACCTACTGGCTGTGGCACAGGAGTTCCCTATCGATGGATTATTGAGATTCGGTCGTGAACCATCACGCGGGCCCAGTGCGGACTGCAGATGCAGCCGGCACCAACGGCTTAACGTGCCTTCCGGAGCAAGGAGGAGCTCAAGATAGTAAATTTTTGGTCACCCATCCAATGACCGACCATTGCGAAAGTTGCTTAACTTCAAGGATCGCAGTCAAATGCGCTAACCACTTGTACCATCGAGCTCCTCAATAAACAATATACCTACTGAAAAATCAGATTTTCCTATAAAAATTTACATTGGGTACGGTATATGCAAAATCCGTCACTCACTTGGTCGTAAGTTCATTATTGGGCATCTCAAACGCAGAAAAACATAAAGTGGCATCTAGCTTTTAGTATTCTTTAGGGTTCCGTACATTGAAAGGAAAAACGGAACCCTTATGCTTATATCAAGCTCATATACTTAGGTCTGCTGTCCCTTAGAGCTGTGGAAAAATCAAATTTCTAAGCCAACGCAATCAAAAGAGCCGTTTGTGCCGCATTTTTTCGAAACTCGCAAGGGAATCAAAACCTACAGGGTACTTCCCGTGAACTGTGAAGCACAGATAAAGGCAAAATTGCATATATATTTTTTATTTATTATTATATACCTACAGGTTTGTGCTGAACCCTCGGTGCACGAATCCTACTCGCACTTGGCCGGTTTTATTTTTCTAAGGGAAAATGATACATGAAATGTGTAGTGCGCGCGGGTAAAATAAAACCAGAGTAGGTACGCCATATTTTACTTCCGGGTTATCAGAGCCACAAATACAAGACGCTCTATAAGGCTTCAAAAATAGCGAGCGGCTCGCAGTCAACAGTAACACAACTGCAGTCGTCGCCACCCTTTGCGCGGCAGTCGTCGACTTCTGCCGTCAATGTGGCGAAGATCGCCGCCGACGAGCCGCCAGCAGTGGACGGATCGACGGCAGACGTCGACGAGATGACAGCAGTCGTCGACGAGATGACAGCAGTCGTCGACGAGATGACGGCTCGTCGGTGGCGGCTAACGGCTTGTTGACGGTGGCCGTTATCACGTTAACGGCAGAAGTCGATATGAAGCCTTACTAGGACAGGTAGATATTAGACATCACTTGCATTTGGCATCAATTGAGCTTTCAAAAACAATAGTGGCAACTTGTCAACAACAACAATTTCGGAATAGAAAATTTGAAATCTGCGACATTTTGCTTGCGTTTGTTACATGTAAGGTTATATAAGTCTCTTAATAACTAAAACTTACCGCATTGGGTCGACCTTAACCTCTGACCTTGGTTTAGGACTACATCGGAAACAACCAACCTCAAAAAAAGGGCAATGAAGGGGAAATCAGTTATCAGCTATGGTTTAAGCTTATTAACAGATATAGCTGTGACGATCTCCGTGGCCGAGTGGTTTGTACGCCGGGTTTCATGGTGTCGCCGACTCGAGAGGTCCCGGGTTCGAATCCCGGTGGGGGCAGATTTTGTGATGAATACGAGCATTTGTACTCCAGTCATTGATGTTTAATATGTATTTCTATATAAATATACTTATATATGTACAGTATATGTATTCTATCCGTTACCCTAGTATCCCATAACACAACCCTTATAGTGCTTACATTGGGGCTAGGCTAATTGGTGTGAGTGTTGGAAATATTTAATTTGAATTTAATTTAATTTTTAAAAGATATACCTACTAGGTATATAATAATGAACCTGAGACTAAAAAATTGTAGGTGCGATTGTTGCCTACCGTAGATACAGTAGATGATAAGGAGGCATACCCAATATTTTATGTTTTAATGATAAATGCGATTGAGTTGTTGCTACCGAAGTTGTCATACGTACTGGCTATTTATCTGTTTAGTGATGTCACTTCGTAAGGAATATCATGACACTATGCTAATGATTTTCGACAATACAGTGTAAATATATTATTTTGGAAGTGAGAGGTTTTTCGGAAAACATCTTCCTACTCAACTAAGTGACGCCAGTTGTATGTATATGGCTACAGTAACATTAAGGAACAGCAAACGTAGCAAGGAGAACCGATGGCCATTAGGACGGAAAGGTTCTCGAATGGCGACCACGCACCGGACGAGGCTCAGTGGGCAGGCCCCACACCAGATGGACCGACAATCTTGCGAAGGTCGCGGCATGTCGATGGATGTGAGTGGCATAGGACCGATCGGTTTGGAGATCCTTGGGGGAGGCCTATGCTCAGCAGTGGGCGTCGTACGGCTGATATGATGAGGATACAGCAATCTATCGCATGCTTCTTAAGGCTCTATTACCAAATGGTGATTAAGGAACCTTATTACTAATCCTAATCAAACGCTTTCCTTCTTAATTGTAGAACCTGCTTGGCTATGCCTCATGAACCGTAATAGGTAGACGGGCATTTTTTTTTTCACAGTATACAACCATCCGTTTTCATTTCCAGCATATTAAAATTTTTGGCCATTGCTTATTTGAAAATGTTCTTTTATGGTTTTTATTAAATTGTTAATTTAATTCCTTCAAGTCCGACAAAAGCATTTTTTATTGTCAGTCCAGCAGATATATATTAAAAGGAACCACGTTTTTCGGGGGTAAATAATTATTTTTAATATAAAAAATAATTAAAATTTAAACATTAATAGGGTTTCTTATTTAACTATGAGGAGCTCGATGGCGCAAGTGACTAGCGCTTTCGGCTGCGATCGTTAAAGTTAAGCAACATATGCAGTGGTCTGTCATTGGATGAGCGAACCAAAATTTACAGTCTCGAGGGCATCCGTG